ACTCAAAGGCCACTGAGGAGTGATAAAAAGGGCCATTTTCAAATGGTGAACCCATTTTTGGACTTAATAAACACAACAAAACCCAATGGTAACAGATAAACCATCTAAATGAGAATCAGGACTCCGTGTCATTTCTAACCATCTATACCACACGTCTCACGGACATGAGGCTAAAGACCCTGCCCAAGACAGGCCCTCTTCCATTTGAGGTACCAGCATTTCCACACACTCAGCAAAGGATTTTCTAGGAACTGTGAGGGCTCGCCCAGCAAGATCCAGTCCCCTGAGCCTTGCCTGCGGCTCAGGAGTCAGAACAGCCTCACTCCTGACCTTGGGAGTATCACCTTACATTATTCCCATACCTGGAAAATAGAGATTCCTTCCTCATCGCTGTCTCCACACTGTTCCCAGGAAGTTTCTGTTCCACAGCTAAGTGTCCCAACCCAGCACCCAGGGGCCCTCCAAAGAGGCTGCATCATCTGCCAAGGGAGGTACAACCAATGTGTCCTGGCTCAGAAGAGACCAGCAACTCCAGTACATGCCTGGGGTGAAAGCACATGATCCTCATAACTAACCACCGCTGGAAACTTTGCTGGGAAATCACAAAAACATCACGGGCTTCATGAATCATTGGCCTTCATGAGTGGGAGGTGCGTGTGCAAGAGACCTAGAGGAATCTGGAAGGACGGACAGCTGCAAGTTTCTACGTCTCTTGTCCTCTTACTCCTGGATGAGTCAGGCTATTGATGGCTGGTCACTGTTGACCAACCATTCAGTGCCTGGACCCACGCTTTGCAAAATGTCAAAATGATGCTGATCAAAGAGCTGATGAGTTTTGACCAGAACAAAGACTGGGGAAACATAAAGGAGCTGCAAACACTTCACAGTTAACTTTGACACATTTATTTCTACTATCCAGACATTAGTAGGAACAAAATGACCAGCAACACCCCCTATTCCCTTCTTGTGAGCACAGAAACCCATTTCTGTGAACACCTTGTAGTAGGAATCATGGTACAACGCAGGGGTAATTCACACTCAACCTGATTTACATGTACGTTTGCCAAGATGGCGAATCAATGGTGCCATGATTTAGCTGGTTTCTCAGCTACATTCCTTTCAAGAGCCCACACACGTCACACCTTCTGGTCGAAAGGGATCAGGTGCTTTGGGATGTCAACCTGGAATATATCCTTTCCCCCTTTCCTAGGTAAGGGCTCCAATAACCANCCCCTATTCCCTTCTTGTGAGCACAGAAACCCGTTTCTGTGAACGCCATGTAGTAGGAATCGTGGTACAATGCAGGGGTAATTCACACTTAACCTGATCTACATGCAAGTTCACCAAGATGGCGAATCAACGGTACCATGATTTAGCTGGTTTCTCAGCTACATTCATCTCAAGAGCCCACACACGTCACACCTTCTGGTCAAAAGGGATCAGGTGCTTTGGGATGTCAACCTGGAATATATCCTTTCCCCCTTTGCTAGGTAAGGGCTCCAGTAACCACCTGGGGTTGGAAATCACAGTCAGGTATTTCTGCTGCAGGATGGCCAGGACAGCTTGCTTTTCCAATTCCACATCTTCCTCAGGAGCTAAGTTCTCAGGACACTCCAACATTTCGCCAAAGTCAACAAGCTCTGTGCACAAAGAGAGAAACACCCAGGTGGTTTTTCCTTCCATAAACAAAGACCTGGCAGTGTGACAACTTGGTTATTCAAAATTATGGCCGCTACAGACTTACACAACATCAGCACAAGGACAGGAAGGGCAGCAGGGCCTTCTCACTGAGCACAGATGATGAGCCAAACATGTTCCGGGAATCCTGGGTGAGGCAGAGGGAAGGCTCCAGAAATGAAGAGGACAGGGCTTGCTCCTCTGTGAAGTGACACAAATAACATGCCTGTGGCAGCAAGACTGCTGAGGATAGGAATTTCAGAATGGAAGGGCACCAGCCACTGCCCGGGAACATGGAGGCAGCAAGGCGCTGAGGCAGTTCACCTCCACCACCCACGGAGGTGTAAGGATTAGCCCAGGGTGCCACTGGTGGTGGGGATAGAGCAAGCACGTGAATCCAGGCAGGCAGCCGACCTGCACAATGTGCTGTGCTGCCTCTGGTGGTCTCTGCCCCCCACACACGCTCACCCACACAGGCACACACAGAGCCCAGCACTAAATGACGTCATGGACCTGACCCAGCCACACAGGTAAGAAGCAGAAACCGAGGCCCAGAGCAGAGAAATGATTTACTAGAGGTGATTCAGGCTGGGCTTGCAGACCCCAGCTCAGGGCCCCTTGCTGCCCCATTGAAGGTGCATTGCTTAGGAGAACAGCAACAAACACACAAACCAGTTCAAAACAAAAGAAAAGCCCCCAAACTCCCCAGCCAGATCCATGTTGGCAGCTCCTGGACTTATCTGTACAACGATCGGCACATTGTCACTTACCAGCTACCAGTCCTCGGCCAAAATTCTCCCCTTCTGGAAGCAAGGCCTGGCGATGGTATGGTTCTGGTGGTTGCCCATCAGGGGACACCAACGTGTTTCTAAGGTCTTTACCCCGTTTAAGACAAAGCCAGAATAAGGCTGCCGGAAGGAAAGGCAACAGATCTTCATCTTGCGCAAGCTCTCTGGGCCTCAGTGGTCTGTGGGAACACAGAAGCTTATCACACACCAGTCCTCCAAGCTCATGGCCAGTGGGCCCGAACTTCACCCAGTTTCCCAGGTGCCCTGAATCCCCACTGAGCTCGATGGTTCACTGCTTCCATCTGTCAGCACAGCAGGCCCAAGGGAAGACTGGGACTGGGAAGGCTGGGATTTGGGTGACTCAGATCCACCTGATGGAATGCTCGGAGAGCTCACGGACTGTGGCAGGGACAGCTAGAGAAAGACACAGGCAGGACAGCGTGTGATCAGTGCTACTACAGAGGTCATCAAGTCCGAGGGCAACACAGAGGTGTGTGGGCTAGTGAGAGTCGGGGCTGGCGTCAGCCCTCTGGCAGCACACAGGGACAGTCCTGGGCTCTGCTTCTTCTCCTGCTGCCCTCCCCCTACCCAGACCTCGCGGATACTCTCAGCTCCCTGGCTGTGCCAGCCCCAGGCACCGCAGGCCCTGAGCTTCCTGTCTCCTACCCCACGTTTGCTGAGCACAAGTGCTTGGTATCCAACCTCAGCTCAACCCTCACAGTGACCTGTGATCTCAGGTGGTCCCGTCAGGTGTCTTCTCCTTACTCCTTCAGGTGCCACCCTGTTCAAGCCCCTTCCCCTGTCCCACACCTGAGCCCTGAGGAAAAAAAAAAATACGAGAATGAGAACAACTAGCCCCAGTGCACACACACCTTCTATGTGACGGGCCCTGGGGTGGGCACGATCCGTGCATCCTCGGATTTAACCCTCACTGCCAGGCCCACTTAACTGCTGAGGACAAGCAGGTTTAGAGCGATGAAGGAAGGACTGTCGATCACACAGGACCTGACTTCATGTACCTCCTGTCCTGGTCCCTGTTGCCTGTTTGTCCCCTGGCACAGGGGCCACTCCTCCTGGCTCAAGGACCGTTCAGCGGATGGAGCGCGGGCCCTGGGCAGGTAGAGCCATGGGCCTGAAGACAGAAACTCCGGCCAGTCATTGCATGTCAAGAAGCCTCAGTTTCCTCGTAGCCGTGAGGTCAGGAGATGAGGCACTGAGAGCACCCAGCCCAGTACCTGGTACCTCACAAGGCAGTCAGATGGTGGCTGCTCTTGTCATCATTGTCATCATCACTGGGACTGGGGACTCATCCCCTGGGTCTGTACCACACCCATGAGCCGCCTCCCTCCACTCTGCTTGGCACCTCCCTGTCCTTCCCTCAAATATATGCACTTAAATTCAGAATCTCCTATGATTCTAAGAAAACATGCCCACAGTCAGGATCAAGGCCCTGCTGGGATGAGAGTGCCTGGTGTTCGCTCCCTTCCCAACCTGCAGTCCTGCCTGACTCTGCAGCACATCTTCTGCCATCCTCCCACTTCTCAGGTGAGCTGCCACTGTCAACAGCGCTTCTGTGTCTCACTCCAGGACCTGGGTCCTACCACTGTCCTATCTCACTCAGAATCAGTACCTCCCCTTCTCCCACGAGGAGGTGATTCTGTTTCCAGAGGAACTTACCGGCACACCCTTTACCATGTGAAGAAAGACCCTCCTGAGCACTCACGTGCCTCCAGCTCCTGCCAGATCCACCTCCCTTCCACCACTGTAAGTGGCTTCACCAACCTGGCGTTCCTG